TACGGGGTAAGCCGTTAAGCTGACCAGGAAAGGTCAACAGGTCAGCCTGGCCATTTGCAATGAGATGCACATCGTTGTACCCGTCTTGAGACGGTGAACTCAAAACTTCAAAATTTGCGGAACGATTCTCTGAGCGGAGTTATGGAGGTTTTTCTTTACTGTTTTTCTTCTTACGGGCGCGCTGGCGCCGAAGCGTTGGCACATGTAGCGCGACTCACAGCGCTCTTCGCGCAAAACAGGTATCATATTCGTGTTCAGGGGGTCAAATAACCCCTAGGGACGTCACCTTAGCAAAATCTGAGCTTCTGACTCAACTTCGAAAAAATGGGGTATGGATAGTCATGGCTGACTGATAGCTAACAGCGATACTATGACTAGCATACTGGTGATGACTGGTCTTCGAACTGAAATAACTCTTCAGTCATGTCTTTTCGCAAACAACAGTACCTGGCTTACTTATTTGTGCCGTCTGCATCATTTTCTTGACTATCGGGAGGAAATCCCATTCCGAGACCAGTCATCGATGGTAGGTGAGCTCCAATCTGCTGCTAATTACCCATGGAATAGCCCACATTTTCCAAGTGAGGTCGAAAAATTTGGCTAGAAACTTGTCCCCAGGGGTAATTTAACCCGCTGAACATGAATATGATGGTATTTCATTGCAAAAACCCTTGTGACACGTGTTACGAGGGGTACAAGCAGAAGCACTCTTTCAGGCCACAATGGGTCTACACTTTCGAAAAAACTGATCGCAGGTTCCCTTATAGGGTAGTGCAGGCGAGCAGAGATGTTAGAAGCTTTGTCGGCTATGTTCTTGGACAAATGCAAAAAAGGGACCTGCCCCGGAACCGATCCTACGACGTCTCGCCTAAGAAACCCGCTCCCTACCCGTTGCGCTCTGCTACCACGTTTCAGAACGACTCCATACATAAATGTAAAGACGCTTCCACGTTTCCTCGCGATAGCATGTGAAACGACCATGCGGGGATAAAACCCTCCATAACTCCGTTCAGAGAATCGTTCTGCAAATTTTGAAGACAGTTCTGAGTTCACCGTCCCAAGACGCGTACAACGGTGTGCAGCTCATTGGAAATGGCCGGGCTGACCTGATGACCTTTCCTGGTGAGAGGATAAGAGCGGCCGTGGTGGCGTAACGGATAGCGCACTCGCCTGGAAAGCGTGAGGTGCTGTGGAGCCCTTATACCGCTCCCAAATTGAAATGATTGAAGGTGTTCCTTTCCGCTAAGTTGGTAGACTTAGACTTTGATGTCCTTTTCAAAAGATCTTCAACGATTGGGCGCACCAGAGGTCACCGATATAAGCTCATAAGAGATAAAATAAAGTCAACAGAGTACCGCAATTCTTTTACTCAACGGATTATCAGTTTTTGGAATAGTTTGCCAACCACTATAAATTCGAGTTCTCCTAAGTCGTTTAGGAGCAAAGTGAGAAAAGTTATGATTTCACAAGGGTGGTTCTGAGAACAGAAACTAAATTATTACACTTTGAAAGGCTGAGTGGCGATTAAGTGATTTTTGTATTCCTAGCTGTGTTTTAAGTCGCCTTAGATTGAATGTGTTTTGTGTTATGATTAAGATGTGTTTGTGCTTTTTTTGTAATTCCTTTTTTCCCTTTCCTATACTTTTTACCTAGTTGCACCCCATTGCTAATCCTTGCTTGCGGCTGTTGGAGCTGGGTCTCAGTAAAGTTGGCGGACCTACTAAGCTGGTATCCGGAGTCCTATTTGATGCGTGGATGGACTTGCAGTGTTGGCGGCCACTGCCCTTCTGCCCTGATTACCCCCTCTACACCGCAGCTCTCTATTCTGTCTTCCCACTGAGTTCTATGTTGATTATCGGAGATTTTTTTTCTGTGTCCTTTTTTATGTGTGCCACTGTCAATAGAATGCCGATAATAAATCATAAATCATAAAATGCGCGGCCTGCGAGGGATGTTGCAGAAGCAGCACAGTTGCTCTTGAGTTCTAGCCCTCGTCATCATCTTCAGTTCTTTTTGCAGCACCTAAATGTTATCCGCATAAAGAAATTGCGTTGTACTTGTATTCCAAAGCGCAATTACAGGACTTGGCAAAAAGCCAAGAGAGCTGCACGCGACACGCGCATTCCTGCGCATGTTAGCACGGGGAAACCGCTACGCTTCGACAGCTGGAGGGCTGGCAGTCACACACTCAAACTATGTGTGATCGATGCATCGTGTCTGTCTTCGAATAGATTACATTTCGCATGAATTAAGCACGAAATTCTTTGATAAATACTTGTTTCTTCCTCTTCTTTTCGCCATTTCTCTGATTTTTTTTTCTTGGATGTCCCCTTCTCACTTTGATGTTGTCGACCTAGTTTTCAGAACAGTGAGTTGGATGTTCTTGATCTCTTTAAATCGACAAAACATCTCTGACTCTGTTTTGAAGCTCGAAGTCGCCTTAATGGTTCGCTTTTCCCATGATTTTGCTGAAATATCCATGTTCACTATTCTTTTTTCGATTTAAACTCTATCCTCAAATTTGCGACTGATTTCAGCTTTTACAAGCTGAATATAGCAGATATTCGGAGAAAATGCCGCAAAAATTAGCTGATCGTGTTCGTTAGCAATTATCGATTGGCAAGAGTCCAGAACGGAAAAGTGAGTAGAGGTACAGACGCAAGGGCCTAATGCTTTTGCGCCTTTCTACCCACAGAGCAGTCATCGGGGCCCCCTCGCCAGCGTGGTTCAGGACCGCCCCACCGTCGCTGGAGAAACTCCACAGTAAGCCACGATTTTGTACATAGCTAGGAGTTTGGCTGTGATAACGGCGTTTTCGCTTTTTCATTCATTAAGGCAGTGGAATTTCGTGCAGCGTGCAGCAAGTTGGGGAGAAACCTGTAAAAGGACTTCCTGTCTGGAGAACGTGAAGGCGGTATTTAACTATTGCTATCCCAGTCTATCTGAAGCAGGCCTGTTTTTGACCGAATATTCTCTAAGGTGGCAGATTTGGTTGAAAACTCGCTTATAGGGACCTTCTGAACACGAGTACTACCTTCGATTGGCCTGAAGCTGTCTGGCGCTCACGCCAAGAGCTCTAGATCACCAAATTCGCTGAAACCTTCTCCTCGGGGTAATTGACCTCCTTGACACGAATATCACATGCGCTCTGCCGAAAGGTGCCAGGCTGAACGCTACAAGAGCGTTGAATGGCGCTGGTATTGAAAAAGATGCGGCAGGGCTAAAAATCACAATCATGTCCGTGATAAGGGTACCGAATAACCCGAATGTGCAAGTTTACATCGATTTGATGGAAAAGCGGTAGCGTCAAACGGGCGCCCAGTGTCGCCAACGTCAGAAAAGTATCTCGCACTCGTGATTGGAACTCTCATGGACGACGTTTCACCTAAAAATTCCTTGAGTTTTTGAAATAGTAGTAGGCTTAATAGTAGCTTAAAGTTGAAGGTTATTCGGCTCATTATAATATCAATGCTCATAATACGTCAGTTGCCAAATAGCCTAGATAATAAACTTCTCATGCTGCAAGTAAGCTATAAATGTACTTAATGCCTACGCATATGCCCAAAATGTAGAACCTCTATGTCGAGGCGAAAGAAAGCTCAAGTGAAATGTGCTTGAAGTTCCCGTCCATCCTTGAACAGAGCATTATAAGCAAGTATTTCAGTACAATTCTTATAGTGGTACTGGCGTAAACACGGTGTTATACAAAGGCCCGTTGCGGAATGCAATCAATTGGGCGCCGCTCTGGACTGCAGTACTGTGGTGGTAATACTGAAGTTAGCTTCTTGTGCCGACCCAAACGCCCACTGCAAGCACCCGCCCTTAAATGGCCGGATCACATCGACGCTCCCCGGTTTCATTCATGAAGTAAAGCGTTGCTACATGGACATATGAATACAAACGTGTAGTCTCATTCATCAAAGCGATTGCTGGCACAGCGCCAGCAGGAAATTTGTCCTGAATGCTCGAGTGCCGCGCAGAGCAAAGGTTCTGTTTTTGGCCGTGTAACTACGCTTTTTCTCCACTGTCATCTTATACAGTACCCCTGATACTATTCTTGAGCAGGCACCCATTTTTGTCGTGCCTCATTTTATGCCTTCAAAGGGGCACGTTTGAAATTTCATTTAAGATTTGTTCAGGACTTTTCCTAGAGCCTAGTCAGCCTAGTGAGAGCAATATGCTTTATTAAACCCGGCTTAAGGTAAATTACCGAAAGATTAAGACACCGTCACATTTAAGCTCTTAACGGCGAGCACGAGAACATTGCTGTAAGCGAGACCATCGTTTCCACTAGCATCTTATGGATTTGGTGCTGGGAAATTTTTCCTTGGCCTTCATTCTGCTGATAACTGGCGTTTGATTGATATTGCTGCAATGATGCTTTCTTTATAAGTTATTAGTTTATCATCAAGTCATCAACAACTCACCGAGTCATCTTCGCCACCTGCAGGTGGTGGAGGTGGCCCTCCATATCCTCCGGGTGTTGGTCCTGGCGATGGATTCGGTCTTGGTCCTGGTCGAGGTCCTGGGCTAGGTCTGGGTCCTGGTCCTGGGCTAGGTCTGGGTCCTGGTCCTGGAGCAGGTCCATCACCTCCATCATATCCTCCCGGTGCTGGCCCGCTTCCAGAACTACCTCCCGATTGAGACGATGATCCTCCTTCTGAGTAACCTCCGGGCTGAGGTCCTGGTCCTGGGCTGGGTCCTGGTCCTGGGCTGGTCCTGGTCCTGGGCTGACGCCGTCCTGCGGCTGGCCTGGGCCTTGCGTCTTGGAGGGGTCCGTCATCACCTCCATCATATCCCTTCTGGTGGCTTCCCGCCTGCCAGAATAAGCCTTCCTGCCGTTGAGTCCCTGGCCCAGGTCCTGGGCTGAGGTCCTGGTCCCGGGCGGGGTCCTGGTCCTGGAGCTGGTCCGTCATCACCCCCATCATATCCTCCAGGTTGTTCTCCGTCCCCGGAGTAGCCTCCAGGTTGAGGTCCTGGCCCTGGGCCTGGGTTGGGTCCTGGTCCTGGGGCAGGTCCACTATCATCTCCATCATATCCTCCCGGTGCCGGCCCGCTTCCAGAACTACCTCCCGATTGAGACGATGATCCTCCTTCTGAGTAACCTCCGGGCTGAGGTCCTGGTCCTGGAGCAGGTTCGTTATCGTCTTCCTCATATCCTTCGGATGCTCCTCCACTACCACCGGATGTTCCTCCACCTCCGGGTTGAGGTGGCGATCCTCCTTCTGAATATCCGTCAGGCTGAGGTCCTGGGCCAGGGCTGGGTCCTGGTCCTGGGGAAGGTCTTGGAGGGGGCCCACTTTCATATCCTCCAGATCCTCCACCACCACCGGATGTTCCTCCACCTCCGGAAGTTCCACCGGTGTAGCCTCCGGGCTGAGGTGGCGATCCTCCTCCTGAGTATCCGTCAGGAGCTGAGGGTCCTGGCCAGGGCTGGGTCTCGGGCGTCCTGGGGGAGGTCTTGGAGGGGGCCCACTTTCATATCCTCCAGATCCTCCTCCACCACCACCGGATGTTCCTCCACCTCCGGAAGTTCCACCGCGAGCTCCGGGTTGAGGCGGTGTTCCACCCTCGGATATGGTCCCAGCAGTGAAGGTTATTGAACTGGTGCTGTTGGTGGATTCGATGGTGCTGGTACTGGAGGTGATGTTCTTGGAGGTGGTATTCGGCCTGTACCTGGTGACGGTGGTGGACGAGGTCGCCCTCCTCCTTGTTCTCCTCTTGGTCGTCCTGGTCCTCCTCCTCGTGGTCTTGCTGCACCACCACCACCACCTCCTCCTGAAGGTGGTGGTGGAGGAGGAGGAGGTCGAGGTCTGCCGCCGCCTCCTCCAGGTGATGGCAATGCTCCATCGCTGTTATATCCTTGCTGATCGCCTCCATCGGAAGACATTGGTGGTGGTGGAGGTTGTTCTTTCTCGGCTGTCTCATAACCCGAGTTTTCGGACTCGTACTGAGCCAGTACCGCTCCCACGGCTACCAGAAGTATGAGACAGCGCATCTGCAAAGAATAACTTTCAGAACGCTGGAAAAATCCATATAGGGAAAACGTGGAGTCATTTGATTAGTCAACATTCGAAGATTAGATGCAACAAAATGAATGGAGTGAAAAGTTACTACAGTGTGGATTTTCCGGAAGACTTCTGCACGCTAAGAGCAAGCATACCCATTTGGGAGGCGAAGGTAACGTTAGTCTTAATAACCCACGCTATTGGACGTACTTCAGCTCGCTGAGGAGGATGGGTGGGCGCCGAAATATTCGAACAAAAAACTTATGACTGACAGAAACTCAATTTCCAAGAGTGTCTCTTGCGCAGTTCGGGCACGGTGGGGGGGGGAGAGTGGGCATCATTGCACTTGTACTGCTTACTAGTTCCGGTTTGCATGTCGCACTATGGTGTAAGCTGTGAATCTCTTGTGAAGCTGGAGCAAGTTCGTCGAGCCACCATGGTAAAACCTGTCAACTCTTGTAAGCTCATGAAATGGGTCTCTATGGCTTCGACACGTCGATGGGAGGTAGCAAAAGTGCGACTTTCTTCCCCCTCTCCTCCCTGTCGCTGAACTGCGCCAGTTTCTCTTGAGATTTTTGAGTTATTGCGAAATCAACATTTAACATTCTTGGGGGGGGGGGGCATCTGAGCTGTTCACGATATTCAGACACTCATGAGGCTCCGGGACAGCACAATATGGGGTAGAAAACCAAAGAATGTCCGAAACGAAAACCTGGGAAGGTGTACGAATACCATTGTGGCGTGCACATTGCTATTTATACCGCAGTAGTTGTTATAGTAATGACGCTTTTCGATTCTCGTAAGTTTTCTGTGACCAGTCGCGCAATGCACGATCACCCATAAATCTCTAAGAAAACGAGCTTGTCGGCCCCGACCTACTTGTTGGACGCGGTGAAACTCTCAACTCTAATTAGTAGATCCCACCACAGAGAATAACAACCCACCACATTAATGCGATCATCCCGTGATAGTATTGAGAACAGGTTCCCAGCCAATACAGTTGTACTGCGCTGGAGCCAAGAAAAACGCTAGACTCATTATCACGAGAAAAAATGGGCAAAAGTCGAACCCCAGGCGAGAGTCGAACCCGCACCTCACGCTCTCCGGGCGAAGTGCGCTATCCGTTATTAAACCCATTTTTATCCGACATTCGTCCAAAGAGCGAAATACTTTCACGATTCTGAGGGGATATCGATATTGTTCGGCATCTCCGGAAAAGTTGATCAAGTCAACGTTGCTTTCTTTGCTTTTTTACTGCTTATCTGAGGCAGTTCGGCGACCGGGGAGGGGGTTGCCCTTAGGCTACTTTACGTAGACATGTCGAGCTATCTACAGAGCTAATTCATGAGCTAACAAGTGTTGGAAAGGTTTACCACTGGTGGCTTGACGACTTGCTCCAGCTTCACAAGAGTTCACAGGTTTCACCAGAATGAACCTGTAAACCGGAACTAGTGAAGCAGCGAAAATGCAGAATGCCCCCCCCTAAACGTTGCAGGATGAAAAGGTAAAGCAAAAATCCTAAATTGAATGTCATTCGCTCACAGCCACCACAGACGATGTCATGACATCCTTCCAGATCAGACACGTCGACGTCGCACCTCGGAGATCCAGCAAGGGGGGGGGGGGAGGTGGGGAGTGTCCCCGTCCCTTGGCTTTCCTCGTATCCTGCGCGCCGGCCCTTGGGGAGAAAGAAGAAGGATTTTGGGTAAGATGGGTGTCGGGGTTGTACCAGAGGAGAAACTTTCAAGGAGAAAAGAGGGCACATCGTTGTTGAGATTTTCCCCAACAGGAGTTCGTATTTGGTGGCGGGAGAGGGGGAGGGGTCGTAGCTAGGCTGAAAAATTTTTTTTCTTGATACTTGCTTATTCTTGCTTCAGGTACGCAGGAGTCGTATTTGCTCGCTGTTGAGACCCCTCCTGACCTTCTGAGAGAGGCTGCTGATCTTCGTGGGTTTTCTTGTTTGATGTGTACCATGGCCTTCCCCCACCCCTC